CTCATCGACTTTCCTCTCTGGGCCAACTTCAAACCACAATCTCCAGATCTCAGCTTCCTGAGTAGCTAGGATTACAGGTATGAGCCACTGGCACCCAGCTTGGGGGGGGGGGGTGTATTTCTATAAGCATTCAAGGTGCCATGCATTCTATTCACATAAGTTACAAGCATTCCCTCCACTGCTGGGATGTTAACAGAGCCTTGCCCACACACTGCTGGGTCTGCAGGACGTTGGCCTCTTTCCTTCCTGCTTCCTCCACGTTGGCCTCTTTCCTTCCTGCTTCTTTGGTGCCTACCAGAGTGCCTAGCATCTAGGAGGTGGCCCATCCAAATGGTTAAATAAAGACTAGGCGGGTAGCTCAGGTGCTTACCTAGCATGCATGAGGACCTGGGTTGTATCCCCCATCATTGCAAAACCCAACACCCCCCAAAAAATAATTATTCAACAAAAGAAACCTATTCCCAAGCTCTGGATGATTTGTGTGGCTTTTTTCAGGTTAATCCTTTCAGACTCTTGTATTCTGGAGGAACTAGAACAATTTGCTTGGGTCTAGTCAAGAAACAGCTATGGGGGCTGGGAAGGTGGATCAGTGGTAGAGCGCTTGCCTTGCATGCATGAGGCCCTAGGTTTGATTCCTCAGCACCACATAAACAGAAAAAGCCAGAAGTGGCACTGTGGCTCAAGTGGTAGAGTGCTAGCCTTGAGCTGAAGAGCTGAGGGACAGTGCCCAGGCCGAGTTCAGGCCCCACAACTGACAAAAAAGAAAAAAGAAAAAGAAAGAAAAAAGAAACAGCTCTAACAGCTATGTACAGATAGGACTAGAATGCTGGTGGCTCCTGCCTATAACTCTAGGTACTCAGGATGTTGAGACTCAAGGATTACAATTAAAAGCTGGCCCGGGTGGAAAAATCCAGGAGACTCTTCTCTCTAATTGACCAGCAAAAAGCTGAAAGTGGAGGTGTGGCACCAGCTTTGAGCAAAAAAGCCAAGGGACAGTGTGGAGACCCTGAGTTCAAGCCCCTAGTACCAGCAACAAAAACAAAAACCAAAAGGTGTGCACTATGGCAAGGAGCCCAGAAAACCTTCTGTAACACAGAAGATGTTCTGTTCCCTGTCATGGAGCTGGGCATTTAACACGAACACACTCTGGACATTTGACCTTAGATTTGAAAGACCTCAGGGAAAAAGAGCAAAAGGCCTTGGGACTGGCCAGGGCAGGCCAGGCCCACATTTGTGAGGGCCCAGCAGAGAGGTCCTGGGACTGGAAGGCTCCGTGGTCATGGAGGTGGGGCCAGGGAAGACCACAGTCTGGAGTGGTGGGGGAAGAACAGGAAGTTGAGGGTTGTTCTGGTGCAGGAAGGAGAGGAGGAATACAGGAAGGACTGGCTATAGTGTCCTGCACCTTTGATGCTGGTCCCCTCTCTGCACTGTCCCCTCTTGTCACAGAAGTCCATCTCTGCAAACATGGAAACAAGACAGATAAAAATATACATGGGACATTACCTGTGGTGTCAAGTGTGTGTGTGTGTGTGTGTGTGTGTGTGTGTGTGTGTGTGTGTGTGTGTACAAGCACCTGAATAAGCACATATGCATAAACTCCACCCTTTGGTGACCACAAAAATCTGGGGGCCCCTATTGCCATTAGGGAAGAACTTTGTGACTGGCGAGGCCAGTTTTGTTTTGTTTTTTCTTTTTTTTTAAGACAAGATTTTCTGTGATTCTCCTGCCTCTGCCTCCTGGGTGCTTGCACGACCACTCCAGGCTTCATTTATTCCATTCTTTGAGTGTCCTCATCCAAGTGAGCACTGGATTTCCCATTCTTGTCTTTATTTAGTCACACATGTATATGACTATATGAGTGTGTATGAATGTGTGTATCTGTGTGTTTGTGTGTGAGTGTGGTATGAGTGTGTATGTATATGAATGTGTCTGTGTCTGTGTGGGTGTTGTATGTGTGCTGTATGAGTATGCATCCATGTAGGAGGATGGGACTTGTGGATCTAAGTGAATGTGTATGTGTATGTAATTATATTCTTGTGTGTATGAGTATGTGAGTGTATAAATAAATGATTGTGAGTGTGTATTGTCTGCGTAAGGGGATGTGTGAGTGAATATGTATGTCTGTATAAATATGTATTTGTGTATATGAGTGTGTGAATGTATGAATAAACATATGCATGAGTGTGAATGTATGAATATGTGTCTGGGAGTGCACAGGTGTGAGTGTGTATATGTGTATGTGCGTGGAGCTCAGACAGAATCCAGGCCTTGCACACAGGAGGCGTGCGGTCCACTCACTGAGCTACCCTCCATCCTGGTACATGCTTTAATTCTGACAGGTAAACAGGATGGTGTCCCCTGAGTGCTGGGCAACCTTGAGCCATTGGTGGGGGCACCATGGAGGAGACAGAGGGTCAGGAGACGGAGTGTCCCTGAATGATTCCCACTTATCAGCAAACACCCAGGCTGTGTAAAGCCCCAGACTACCTGGCTGCCTTCAGCTTCCCACTGCCTGGAAGCAGGGCCGATAAGACAGGTGGCTGGCTTCAAGGAGGATTGGGTGCGGCACAATTGAAAATATTGACTTGAGGCCCCAAGTGGGCAAGAGTTCCTGTCCCTCGGGTACTGGGCCTGCCCAGGGTTCTGACACCACCCACTTGATTCCTGAGATCTCCTTAGAGAGATGTTTGCAAGTCATGCTAAAAATGGATTTACTGTGGGCATTGCCAAATCGGTGAGAGAGACACTGCTCTGAACAATAGCTGTTGCTGTGTTTGTGTGCATGTATGCAGTGTGTACGTATGTGTGTGTGCCCACAAGCATGTGTGCGTGCACATCCACGCGCAGGTATGGGGCCTTGAACTAGAGTCCTTGGTTCTTACCTTTTCTACTCAATTGTGGTACTCTACCACATGAACTATACCTCCACTTCTAGCTTCTTGCTGGTTAACTGGAGATAACTCATGAACTTTCCTGCCTAGGCTGGCTTCCAGCCCCAATCCTCTGATCCCAGCCTCCTGAGTAGCTAGGATTATAGGTGTGAGTCACTAGTGCCCTGCACACTGTTGCTTTCATTTCTTTCCCTGGCCCTGGAACCCCTAGACTAGGTAGGAAGGGGGCTCAGAATGCCTGGCCTTCCTAGAAGCCCATCTCCATGGAAGTGAGCAGCTAGGAAGATGGCAAAGCCAGCCCTCAGAGGCAGAGAAACCAAGTGCCCAGGAGGCCTGAGGGTAGGGGAGAGGAGGTACCACAGGACCTGGCATTCCCTGCCAGCCTGTCCCCATTCTCTACCCTCAAGTGTGCTTATTCCCCAACCTCAGAGAATCTGTTGTTTGGGTTTGTGTTAAAAAAGAAAAACAAACTGGGCTGGGAAGGTGGCTCAGTGGTAGAGCGCTTGCCTTGCATGCATGAGGCCTTGGGTTACATTAGCACCACATAAGCAGAAAAAGCCAGAAGTGGCACTGTGGCTCAAGTGGTAGAGTGCTCACCTTGAGCTGAAGAGCTGAGGGACAGCGCCCAGGCCCAGAGTTCAGGTCCCACGACTGGCAAAAAAAAAAAAAAAAAAAAAACCTATATATTTTTGTCTTCTTTTTTGGTACTGGAGATCCAATCCAGGACACTGCACTTCTTAGGCAAGCACTTTGCCACTGAGCTATATCCCAGCCCCTGACCTCAGAGAATCTGAAGCATCCTGATCTCCATGGGGCCCAGATCTCCTGCACACTAGCCCAGCACTTAGTGGGCTGGAAATCTGCTTCCATCTCCACAAGAGTGGCATGGTATTGGAATTCTACCACTCCTATCCAAGTGTCTCCTAACCCCCAACTTCCTAAATCTGGGAGGCTGTCGACAGGCAATCCCCTTGACATAGTTCCTGGCACCTGCACACACCTGTACACACCCAGTACACCCTCATGCACTCCCTTCCCATCACAAACACAGTGCATGAGTATAGGAAGTGGGGGAGGGGGGAGCAATCCGGGTGGGGCGACTGTAAATGGAGCCAGGAAGAGGCCATGAGCTGCTGCCAAGTCCTACCTTGCACTATCTCTGATTCTAGAAACCACGGACACGGCACACCCCATGGCTGAGAATAGACTCTGAACCTCTGGAGAGGTGGGGAGATGGGGCCTCCTGTGTCCCTGGCTGCAAAGGAGGTAAAAGATATCCCTGGGGCTGGGAACAAGTCTTAAGTGGTAGCATGCCAGCTTATCAAGTCCAAGGGCAAGGCCAAGTTCAAACACTGTTATGCCAAAAGTTAAAATTAAAAAAAGACACCTGGCCACCTGGAAGCCTGCCCAGAAAGTACAGGCCCAGGCTGACCACTTTCTAGATGAGCCAGTATTTGGTTATATTGAACACTGGATTTCCTTATCTGCAAATAATCCCCAAAGTTGCAGTCTGAAGGGGGACGTGGGAGGAACTCTCTGATGAGGACAGACAGTTGAACCTGCTCTGCCTACCTCAGAGAACTGTGGCGCGATTGGAATGGCTCTGGGTGTTCCAGAGCCCACTGGAAACTGTCCAGCACTATGGCTAGGTGAAGGACCATCATCAGCCATCACCAACTTTCAATAAAGGACACTCTGGGAACAGCCTGGCAGGGAGCTGACTTCTCTACCCAACATGCCTTGCTTGCTGGGTCCCTTCCAGCATCCCCCCCAGGAAAGGTCTTCTTTTTTTTTTTCTTTTTCTTTTTGTCAGTAGTGGGGCTTGAACTCAAGGCCTGGCTGCTGTCTCTAAGCTCCTTTTGCTCAAGGCTAGCGCTCTACCACTTGAACCACAGCAGCCACTTCAGGCTTTTTTGAGTAGTTTATTGGAGATAAGAGTCTCACAGACTTTCCTGCCCAGGCTGGCTTTGAACCTCAATCCTCAGATCTCAGCCTCCTGAGTAGCTAGGATTACAGGCGTGAGCCACTGGTGCCTGACAGGAAGGAACTTCTTGTCTGCCTCCTTCCTATTCCCCCACAATGTGGACATACAACACATGCACAGCAAAGTCAGTTAGCAGAGCCAGCTGAGGCTTTATTTTGGAAAACAGAATGAATTTTTCGGTGGTGAGGGGCACGGGCAAGAGGGACGCTCCGGGTAGTAGACTCTTCCCAAGTTGGGGCTGAGGGCAGGCCTCTCCTTCTTATGCTCTCCTTCCCAGCTGTCTCCCCTGAAGGCCCGTGGCAGCCTCAGAGGGGCATCAGCTAGGAGGGGATGTAGTAGCATTTACTTAGGCAGGACATCAGAAGACTCAGACACCAGCTTCCCATCTCGCGTCTCGATCTTCTTCACCACCACAGCCTTGGTGGTACGGGTGAAGGTGCTGGAGCCTCCCATAGGGCTAAAGCTGGGCTGGAAGGAGCTCATGTTGTAGTTGAAGCCAGGGCTTGTGAGGCCCCCGTAGGCTGAGCTCAGCCCTCCTGGTCAGGGATAGAGGCAGCCATATGAGCACATAAGCCAGTTCAATGCTCTAGTCCACCCATCAGCCCAGGCCCCTTCTCCTCTCTTATGTCCCAGAGATGAAGTGTCAGGCCTACATTTTGCTGAACCTAGGATGCCTGGGTCACTCCTCAGAGCCATCAAAGAAGCTAGGGCAGACAGGAAAGTGTTTCTTTACTGGCTGTTCATCCCTGGACAAGACATCGAACTGAGCTCAGCTCCTTCAGCTCAAGAGGAATTGTAGACAAGGCAAATAATAAAGCATGAGAATGGCTGGGCACCAGTGGTTCACGCCTGTAATCCTATCTACTTAGGAGGCTGAAATCTGAGGACTGAGGTTTAAAGCCAGCCCAGTTTAACACATCTGTGAGACCCTCGTCTCCAATTAACCAGCAGAGAGTTGCAAGTGGAGGTGTGGCTCAAGTGGTTGAACATCAGCCTGGAGAGAAAAAGCTAAGCCTAGAGCATGAGGCCCTGAGTTCAAGCCTGAGTACCAACACACACACACACACACACACACACACACACACACACACACACAATATTTAACTGTACAAATAAAGCATAAAAACACTAGACACAGTGCTGGTCCCCAGCTACCAGCTACTTGAGGATTTTCTATTAGTAACTGTTATCTGGGTCCTAAGAGTGAGCCCATTTCCTGGAGATTTTTTTCCCTCCACTGCTACTACTGAGCACAGATCCATCCCAAAGCCCAGGCCGCTCAGCCTCTCTGCACAGCCATGTCTAGGACCCAGGACACTCACCTGAATAGCCACTGGTGGTCTTTGTATGGATACTCATGTTCTGCATCCCAGACTCCAGCCTGTACACAGACAGATGGGGTGTCAGAATCAACTTCGGGCCTTTTGGGTTCCAGCACAAGTTCCAAAGTTCCAAGAGGACTAACAGGTCCTCACACACACACACATTCTTTCCCACTCCCGGGTCCCACAGCCTGGACTCTAAGTCCAGTGAGGAGTCCCCAAACCCACCGGCTCTCCTCGCCCTCCAGCAGCTTCCTGTAGGTGGCGATCTCGATGTCCAGCGCCAGCTTGACGTTCATCAGCTCCTGGTACTCGCGCAGCTGCTGCGCCATGTCCTGTTTGGCCCGCTTCAGGGCGGCCTCCAGCTCTGCCAGTTTGGCATTGGCATCTTTAATGGCCATCTCCCCACGCTGCTCTGCATCCGCGATGGCAGCCTCCAGGGATGCCTTCTGCAGGAGGACAGGTGAGCATGAGACATCTTTATCCAGGAGGCCTCCTCCCCAGCATCCACCTACCTAGAACCTCTTTTAGTGCCCCTCCCACCCCCAGACCTAAACTGACGCTGCTTGGCTCAAAGAAAACGTTGCAATGTTACTGAGCAAGCAGAATGGAAAAGCAGAGCTACTTCCAAGCACTTCCCTCTCACCCCATCACACCTGTAGTACTATGAGAGTTCACACACACACACACACACACACACACACACACACACCAACTGAATTCAGAGCTCTGGGCTACAAGCAGGAGCCTGTGGCTCATGCCTATAATCCTAGCTACTCAGGAGACTGAGATCTGAGGATTGCGGTTCAAAGCCAGGCCAGACAAGAAAGTCCGTGAGACTCTTATCTCCAATAAACCACCAGAAAACTGGAAATGGTGGTTACATGGAGATAAGCATCTCCCTGACATTTTCTTTTTTTTTTGGTCAGTCATGGGGCTTGAACTCTGGGCCTGGGCACTGTTCCTGAGCTTTTCAGCTCAAGGCTAGTGCTTAACCACTTGGGCCATAGCTTCACTTCCAAGTGGCAGAGCAAAAAGGCTCAGGTATGGTGCCCAGGCTCTGTGTTCATGCTTCAATACCAGCACCACAGACAGAGAGAAAGAGGGGGTGGGGATTTTTACAAGGCAACAAATCCCAACTTTGCCCAGATACACATGACAGAGTAAACAAGACAGGCTTGGGGGAGCCCCAACCTACCTGCCCAGCCCCCTTTCACCCTACGCTAGCCTCAAAGATACGCAGTGTCCCTCTGCTTCTCAGGACTATCTGAGAAAACTGGCTGGCAGCTACCTCTCCAGTGCCTGGCCCTGGGTCCCCAGACCTCTCCCCTCTCCTCCCTCCTACAGGATCTCCTCTTCCCCAGGCTGTTCAAGGATCCCAGTCCATGCTCAGTGCTACAGTACCTGGCTTTTGAGGGTCTCAATCTCTGCCTGCTGGCGGCTGATGTTGCGGTTCATGTCAGAGATCTCCGTCTTCGTGCGACGCAGATCATCTCCGTGCTTACCAGCCATGGTCTGCAGCTCCTCATACTACAGATACAAGATGACAAGTGAGGTTCTGGATGGGATTGCAGATCCTCAGGTGCCCACTCAGCCAAGTCACCACAGCGTAGCATGCACACACACACGCACGCACGCGCACACACACACACACACACACACCAGTGAAAGCTCCTTCCCAGACTTCCAGGCACTGGTTCTGTGCACCCCGCTCTCAGCAGGCAGAGTGGAGTTTGGAATCCTGCACCCTCCCCACAGAGTAGGGCCCCGAACTGGCCAGGGGATGAGGGCCAACCTAATGACCCTGCTCTTCACCTTGATCTGGTACATGTGCTCAGCATCAGCCCGGCTACGGTTAGCCATCTCTTCGTACTGGGCCTTGACCTCAGCAATGATGCCGTCCATGTCCAGGGAGCGGCTGTTGTCCATAGACAGCACCACAGAAGTGTCCGAGATCTGGGACTGCATCTCACGGATCTCCTGTGGGGCAGGGAGGCGGGAGGTGAGGCTCTGTGTGTGTACCTAAGGAACTCCCTCTTTGCAGAAGAATCTCCCTTAGGGGTAAGACAACAGAAGGGAACAGGTGGGAACCAAGGCTGAAAAGAGATCAAAGACCCAGCAGAAAGAAGATGGATCAAAGATGCATAGTGGAGGAGGAATAAAAACCTGACTCTGGTGAATTACCAAGGGGGGAGACGCTGTCCTTGCTCTCAATCGCCAATACTAAGCTCAGAAGTATCCATGACAGGACCAAATGGGCCTGAGTGGGACTAAGTGGGCCTGAGTAGATTGGGTCAGCCCTCTCTGTATGATGCCCTTGGACAAGCCGTGTGTTTGTGTGTGTGTGTGTGTGTGTGTGTGTGTGTGTGTGTGCGCGCGTACGCGCAATGTGCACACATGTGCACATGCTAACATCGGGGCTTGACTCAAGGCCTCACACTCTCACTTGACTTCTTGAGTCGCATCTCTACCTGCAGCGTTTTGCTGGTTAATTACAGATGAAAGAGTGTCTAGATTTGTCTGCCCGGGCTGGCTTCTAACCACAGTGCTCAGATCTCAGCTTCTTGAGTAGCAAAGATTACAGGCGTGAGCCACTGGCACCCAGCTGGGAAAGTCAAGTCTTGCAGCCTCAACTGTGGAATGAGGGAAGACAGCTTCCATGTGTAAGGGATTGAGCCTGGAGAACAACTTTAATTGCCAGAAGCTATAGTTGTGGATAAAGACCCTTCTCCTCGGGTGTGGCGGGAACTGGGAGTGGGATCCCTGACAAGCTGGAGGATCCTCCCTAGAACATACCTCTTCATATATTTGCCTGAGGAAGTTGATTTCATCTGTCAGCCCTTCTAGGCGGGACTCCAGCTCCACCTTGTTCATATAAGCTTCATCCACATCCTGGGGACAAAGTGATAGGCACTGAGGTGAGTGTCTACACCCAACCCAGCAGCCATTCAATGGCCTGGACTTGAGATCTTCCAACAAGTCTCCATCAACATCCCATTTTGTGGGATGTTGCCTCTTGTCCATTGGCCCTACAGCCCAGCCCACGCACCTTCCGCTTCCTGCAGCCCTCCTCGCCCCATCCTTCTCCTCCAGGAAGCATTCTATGGCTATATCTCCAGCTCTATTCCTTTCTCTTCACCATGTTCCCCATGCTGATGCACAAAGTTCTGCCCAATGCACCTAACAACCTCCCTGCCCTTTATCTCTCTCTCTGTCACACATCTAGATAGGATGAAATGTTGTGAATTTGTCCCATTCCTTAGAAGCATTGGGGTCACTCTAACTATACAGGATTTAGAAGCATCTAAAAATTGCTTAGTCCTAATCTCCAGTTCCTAACCTCCAGTGTCTGGGAGTAAGGGAAGAAGGAAGGCCCCCTCTTACCTTCTTGATGAGGACAAATTCATTCTCCATCTCTGTCCGCTTGTTGATCTCATCCTCGTACCTAGTGAGGAAAGACTTAGGATCAGGGATGAAGGCACAGGAGAAGTTCTGGTGGTCTCTGGGATAGAACTCTGGGCCTTGTGAATGCTAAGCACACACTCAGAAGCTCTGCCCCAAGCCCCACCTAAGTCTTTGGAGAAGGATATTGTTATCTCAAAAATTCTTTTCCCACAGATGAGTATAGGATAGTCTGGTTCATCTGCCGCCCCACCCTCTCCCCTCTTCCCAACCCCACCAGACTCTCTGCCAGTGGAAAAGCCCAAAGTGGGAACATTTCTTCCAATCCGTGAATACCCACATTAGATCGGGCCCACATTGGGAGGGATACCTCAAAGAGAACTCTGGAATTTTCTAGAGGTTGGGGGAAGGCTAGAAGTATAAAAGTAAGGCCGGCTGATGACCTATCTCTCCCGTTTAGGTGCACTACTTAAACATATAATTTCTTTTCCAAATCTGGATAGCCCTGAGACTGGAAGAGAATAGATGGTATTAGCAATTATGCCAGGACAATCCCAAGCAAAACAGATCATGTGTTATACTACTACACTGTTGATAAGCAGAGGGCCACAGGGTCTTAGGCCTCTCATCCCCATGAGGATGGCAGGCTGATATCCATTGGAGAGGGGGCTCACTTATTCTTGAAGTCCTCCACCAGCCCCTGCATGTTGCCAAGCTCTGCCTCCAGCTTCAGCTTCTCTTGGCCCAGTGAATCTAGCTGCCGCCGAAGGTTGTTGATGTAACTCTCAAACATGTTGTCCATGTTGCTCCGAGCCGTCTTCTGCTGCTGCAGGAGGCTCCACTTGGTCTCCAGCATCTTGTTCTGCTGCTCCAGGAATCGCACCTACATGGAGAAAAGGGAGCAAACAGATCCACATTGGACCAGGTCCACATTAGACCAAGGTCTAGAGGGAAGCAAATCCTGTCTTGTCCCTAGTCTGTTTCCAGAACTCTAAAGTTCCCAGAACCTAGACACCTAGGTAGCTGTTCCTGGAAGACCACCTATGACCTGAGGGCAAGAGTAATGGTGAGATGGAGAGATGGGGAGTGAGTAGCTTTGTGGGAGGGGCACAGTTGGAGAGGGCAGCGAGGGGAATCCTGCTGAAGCCAAATCTGCCAAACTGGTCTTCTTTAACATAATTATGTGTCACCGATCAGTAAAAGCAAAAAAATAGCCAAGTTTTCTAAAGATGTTTTGCTTTACATTTTATATAAGATTGAAAAAATAAAATAGAGTACGGTATATCAACCCTTCATCATTATTTAGCCTTCATGCTCAGAGAGCACTGTTCAGGAGACATACATTCTAATCAACCTTTGGCTTTGTACCTCTCAGAGCCTAGATCTCCTCTACTTAGCACTGACCCTGGAGCAACTTAGGCCCCAGAGAACAAGAAAGGAGGAAGGACTGCTGTCTACACACTGAGAGATCTTCCCTGGCTCCCACAGCTCCCTTCGGGAGGTCTCTAATACGAGGAAGGGTCTCCCCACCTCTTATGTATTCACAATATGTACCTTTGGCTAAAAGCACACGGGCCCTGGGATCCTTGGGCCCATGGAATCCACATCTTAGAATGAAATCAAGGCATGTTAAAGAAGAATTTAAAAAATAAAAAGGAAGAGTAATAAACTTGTTCTAAGAAAGCAAATACATTTTTTAAATCAACCCAAAATTGTCACTTTTTTTAAGCTAAAAGGCACTTGGAAGAGAAGAATGCCCTAACAGTATAATCTAGCAATTTTCCCAGAACTTTGTGTGTAAATCTTTTTTCCTCTCCAAAATTAAAGGGTTGTTTTGTTTTTTTTCCTTTTTAAATCGTAGCGATTATAACATTTAATCATACTGGAATGCTTCATGTAAGCCGGTACTTTAAACTGTTCATATTACTTGTTTGAGCAAAAATTCTCATTTAGGGATTTTCCTGCCCATTTTCTAGAAGAGGAAATCAAACTCAGCAAGATGGCCTGAAGGAAACTGACTGGGGGGGGTGGGGGGGGGGGAAACCATGAGAACCAAATTCACACTGGACATCTGCATTTAACAGCTCTTCTTAAGGATTATCCCCACCCCTCCACCCCCAGGTCTAGCCAAATGCACTGAGAAGTCAACCAGTTTGGAGAGCTGGTTTACCAGCAAGTCCTCTACAAAAGAAAGGACTCTGGTTCCTAAGGAAACCAACGACTTCAGGATTTCCCTCCTCCCTTTCCCACAATGCCTCCCCGGAACCAGTCAGCAAAGATGGGCCACTCCTCCCCAGCCCTTAGGGCCACCAGAGAGACATCAGGCTGCAAAACCTGGCCTGGCTTTCCAGCCTGAGAAAGTGGAATGGACCCCTTGAGGTGGAGCCTAGGTAGGAAGAATGAGGGCAAGGGCTAAGTGGGTGGAGGGGCGTTAGCCGACCGACATGTTATCTGAAAGCCATAAACTCTGGGTTTAACAGGATGTAAACCAGGGCGAGGTATCCAACACTTGCAGACTTTGACTCCTGAATGGGCTTTCCCTAGGTCCGGTCTGGCGTCTCCCAGGACACCTGGAGCCAGGCCAGGTAGAGGCCAATTCCCAAGAGACAACTCATCTGGGCCCTTACCCCTCAGGTGGCCCCACCCACATTACAGTGAGCAAGGCAAAAGCTAAGTAATGATTCAGCCTGGTGGTGACCCCAGACCCAACACCAGAGACCTCTACCTACATTTGTAGGTTTGGATCAAGACACCTACAGCCTTTCAGAATGCCATTAAACCTCTTTTTTTTTTTTTTACAAAAATATTGGAGAAGGAAAAACACTAATGGAGCCAGGGGCCAGGGCTCCAGTATCTTATACCTGTAATCCTAGCTACTCAGGAGGCTGAGATCTGAGGATTCTGATTCAAAGCACACTGTACAGGAAAGTCAGTGAGACTTATTTCCTGCTAACCACCAAAAGGGAAGTGGAAAGAAATATGGCTCAAGTGGTACAGTGCTAGCCTTGAGTGAAAAAGATCAGGGACAGTGTCCAGGTCCCAGTGCCAACACACAAACACACACACACACACACACACACACACACACACACACACACACACCTCACTGGAAACCCCTTGATGCAATAGTGTGGAAGAGGATTGAATTGGGGGAGGGGAGGCCTCCTCCCACTCAACACCTGAAGGAAGTCCAGGCTTCTCAATGGAAGCCAGACCCCTCAATGGACAAAAAGGACTTGAAGTTAGGGGAAGAAAGGAGGGTGGAGGAGGGAGGGAAGAAGCCTCAGGATTTGGTTGCAAATCATCCAGACCCTCTCCCTAAGGCCCTACCAGCCCAAACCAAAATGCTGGGAGGACACTGGCTGTAAGAGAATGTTGCCAGGATGGTGGGGTCCACCAGGAGCTAGTAAGGGATTTGAGATGAAGCCACCAACTAGAGTGACCAAGAGAAAGGGTGTGGAGGGCAGTCGGCCCCTTAGGAAAGCCCCTCACCTTGTCAATGAAGGAGGCGAACTTATTGTTGAGGCTCTTGATCTGCTCCTTCTCCTGAGTGCGCACGGCCTGGATGTTGGGGTCCACCTCCAGCTTCAGGGGGTTCAGCAGGCTCTGGTTCACCGTGACGGCTGTAATGCCCCCTCCACTAGCACCGCCAACGCCACCGAGACCCATGCTCCCCCGAAAGCTGCTGCCGCTGCCCACCCTGGAGAAGCCTGAGCTGACTCGAACACCGGGCCCACTGGTGTAGGATCGACTGCTGAAGGCCCGGGGTCCAGAGGTGGACATCTTGTAGGACTTCTGAGTCATCCTGATGGACATGGTGGAGGCTGGAGTGAAGGCAGGAGGCCTGAAGACAGGTTGGACAAGAAGCTGAGCAGCTGCTTCTAGGTAGTGGGGCAGCGCCTAGGAAAGACCTCTTATAAAAGAAAGCCCAGCCCGAGGGGCGGGCAAGAGAGGTCCTACCTGAATGGCTAGTTCCAAAGTGGGCAGGGCCTAACCCAAGACCTGTCACCTCCAGGCAGGACTCAGATGAGGGCAGCAGAGAGCTGTTACCACCCTGGACCCCACTCCAGTACCACCCAAGAAACTCAAGAGAGAGCAATTCAGCCCATGTGAACTAGAAAGGAAGGAAGGAAGGACGGAATCCTTCTGGCCTTGTAACAAGTGAGTAACAGGGAGTTATGCCTGGGGTCATGCAGACCTGGAAGCCACCTCCTGGGTCTTGTTTTCCTGCCTTCCTGGGAGAAATAAACTGGAGAAGCTAGAAGCAGGAAAAGGCCCCTTGGTATTTGGGGCTCTTCTAAGAATTTGATACCCCCCAAGAGACCCTCCTTGAGGAGGATCTGCCCATGGCTGATCTGGGCAGAATCCCCTGGATTTCCAGACCAATCATCTGAAGCCAATCATTTACTTCCTCTCTCCAGGGTACCCAGGGCAATGCCAGAAAGGGATGGGTAAATATTTTTGGAATGAATTGATGAATGAGTGAACATACACACACACACACACACACACACACACACACACACTCACTTCTGGGTCTGTAGGTACAAGATAAGGAAAGATCAAGCCAGGTACTGGGAGCTCAAACCTATAATCATAGCTATTCAGGAGGCTGAGATCTGAAGATCACGGTTCAAACCCAGCAGAGCCAGAAAGTCCATGAAACTCTCCAATAGAAACCACCAGAAAACTGGAAGTGGCTCTGTGGCTCAAAGTGGTAGAGCACTAGCTTTGAGGGAACAAAGCTCAGGGACAGTGCCCAGGCCCTGAGTTCAAGCCCCAAGACTGACCCAAAAAAAAAAAAAAAAAAAGATCAAGCACAACATTTTTCCTGCATGCAACCCAGTATCTTTCTCTCTTCCCAAGATCTCAAAACTCCTCAGACTAGACTGAAGACTGTACTGAAGAGCAACAGAGAATGGAGAACAGAAGCAAAGAGGAAGGGGATTGAGGAACAGCATTGGCAGGGAGGGGAGCGGGGGGAGGGGTCCTTCAATCTTATTGCTCCCCCAGGGAGTCACTCCTATTGCTCCCAGTAGATGAATCAGAGGAAATGAGACCAGATGGAGGAGGGGGGAGAATTGTAAGGTAGGTGAGTGGTATGGCACTGGTGGTGAGTCATTCTGAGGCCACCTAGCCTTCCTGCTCTTCCCAGACCCCAGCTGGCCAAAGGAGAAAAGAACCCTTACACCTGTCTCTCAGAGCCCATTATCAGAGTGAGTCAGGAGTAGGCTGGGGCACAGCACACCTGGCACCTGCTCTTGGGGCAGGCTGGAGAAAGGAGCTGAGCAAATCCCTCCAGGCCTGGGTGAGGCTAGGCAGGGCCAGGTTGTGGGTGGAAGGCAACAGGTTTGGATCCCCAAGGCAAGGATTCCACCTGTAATTACCTGATGGCTGGGGCTGGGCTCTCTAGAAGGTACTGAGGTGTATAACATAGGGTAGCTGCATTGTAACAAGGGAGACAAAACAGATGACAGACACCTAGATCCCCTGGGAATAGGGGATGGGTGGCACACAGTCCCCGAAAAAGAAGCTGACCACCTTCTAGTGGACAGGACAGATATATGGATTCCTCTTCTTCTTTCAGGGTCCCAGGAGACAAGCACATAGGAGTTCCATTCAGAGGGACAGAAAGATCCAGAAGACCTCCTCCTAAGGGGACAGATACTAATCCAAAAAGACAGACACACAGACAAACTTCCCTCAAAATCTACACACATCCACATACACACAGGACACACTTTGAACTCCCTCCCAGAAAGACAAATCCAAAGATTTGCAATCCTCCTGTTTGTAATCTCTCTCCCTTTCCTTCCCTGGCTGCAGACTTGCTGGGCAGAGGGAAATCCAATTAGTACCTATTTACACCAAGGCCCTCCCTCAACCCTTTGAAACAATGCTTCATTTTCAGAGGAAAGATTGGAAAGTATGCCAAGCCCTCTCCAACAGAACACCACACCCACAGCAGGTCTGAGAAACTTCTTCCAGAAAACCAAAGGGAGGGAGGGAAGGAGGGAAGGAGAGAGGGAGGGAGGTTGGGCCCAGTGCCAAACCAGAGACCTAGAGAAAGCGGAAGGAGAGAGGGAGGGGCTGGTCAGACAGGTAGAGCCACCCTGGGGCGGAGGGACTGCCAACCTGCTTTCCCTTTCTTCCCCTCCCCCACAATTGTTGGCGAGACCCAGGGAAGGGAGGAAACTCAGAGAGGGGGCTATACTCTAGGATCTGATTTGGACAGCAAGAGAGACACAAACCAGCCACCCAATCCCTTCATGAGATCTCAGCCCCCTTCACCCCAATGAGCTGATTCCTTGGTCCTAGGAATGTTTCTTATGGTGAGACCCCTGGAACAAGGGCCCAGAGTTCACCCAGAGTTCACTGAGCAGGAGTCACCCTAGGACACTCCTAAACAGCTCTTCATCAGAGGTGATTGCATCACCTTTGTCAACTCCCTATGGCCCAAAGACCCCTGCCAACCCCTTCCTGATGCCACATACCCACCCTCAGTATAGGAGAAGTCAGAGATGCCCTCTTTGATGGTCCCTGTCTGCCACCAAAACATGACTTCCAAGATAGAGGCAAAAGAGAAGGCCCTAGGGTCTAGGGCCAAGTGGTGACAGAAGAGAACTGGCTTAGGGCCTGCCTCAGGTACAACTCCTTATAAGGTTTTCTAGCCACTATAGTCAGTAAGTACAACGCAGCCTGCTCAACAAGCAACATGTTTGCAATGAGGTGACTGTGCCCTATCCGGTCTGCTCTGCTCCAAACCACCTTTCCTGGAGAGCCAAGAGGAAGCTCTCCTCATTGAAACACAGCCCCTCTATTCCAAAGGCATGGGGGAGGTCCAGAGGCCCTGAGCTGCTGTCAAGGCTGGGTGCAGGCAGGGAAAGGGGGTGAGGAGGCAGGTTGCTTTCCTCCTTACGCAGAATCATGGGACGAAACATTCCAAAGTTCTTAGTGCTCAAGATAGTCCCACATCATTGTTTACAACAACCAAAGACTGGGAACAATCCAATGTCTAACCATGGAGCAATGGCTCAATCACTTTTAATGAAGTGTTATTCATGTTTTTCATGAAATTCTGGTGCTGGCTGCAAGGCAGGTGAGCCTTGCAAAGATGACACTAAGTGACGGGAGACAATCATAAATTATCTATTATATGAGTCTGCTTATAAGGAAATGTTCAGGATGGAATAGGCAAAGAAATGAAGCAGAATACAAATTAGCAGGGAACTAAGGTACATGCTAAAGAGCACAGATCTCCTAAATCTGACAGTAGTGGAATTGCCAAGTTGCCCCAAAGCATAAATGAGCTACATATAAAAAGCAGTGGAAAGCCAGGCACCAGTGGCTCACAACTGTAATCCTAGCTACTCAGGAGGCTGAGATCTGAGGATCATAATTCCAAGTCAGCCTGGGAAATAAAGTCCATGAGACTCTCATCTCCAAATTAACAACCAAAAAGCCAGACAGGGAGCTGTGGCTCAAGTGGTAGAGCATCAGTCTTAGGTAAAAAGTTAAGTGATAGTGTCCAGGTCCTGAGTTCAAGGCCCAGTAGTTCTCTCTATCTCTCTCTCTCTCAACAAAAACAAGGGCTTTGCAAGCCAACACAAGGGCTAGAGAGGAAGAGAGAAAATAAAGAGAATCCCTGACTCAAAGTACCTAAATCATCTTTAAGAGATGGAACAATTTAGAAATATTATTGTTGGTATAAAAACAGCTGGGTTTACACTGAGACAGCAGAACAATTAGTTTAAACAGAAAGCTACAGATGGTGGGCACACCCCTCTGTAAGCTATATTATGAATAATAAAGTTGCTTGACTGCTGATTTTTGTGATGTATGCCTTAAGGCCAGAGTTGTTCATAGTCCATGTGTAACAAATGGTGAGGTTTTCTTAACTCATAAATAGTGGCTCTAATGATTAAAGCCAGCCAGGTTGGGAGTAGACTGACTGCCTAGGGAAGCATCAAGCTCCCATCCCTAGAAGTAAAGCTTGCTCATCAGATGCCCCACTCACTGCAATAGTACTGCTTTATCAGGGAGAGACTTGGCTCAGATCTTCCAAATCACTCATTCCACCTCTAAGAGCCTACAAATTGTGTCTCACCACCCTAGGGCTTTGCACATGGGAGATTAGACAACTTTGAATATTCTCTGAATTGACATTCTGGTTTTGATAAGCGATATGACTAAAATTATTAGAACAAGGCTGGACATTGGTGGCTCATGCCTATAATCCTAGCTACTCAGGAGGCTGAGATCTGAGGATCATGGTTCAAAGTCAGCAGGTACAAGGAAGTCTGAGATTCTTATCTCTAACTAACTACCAAAAAGCCAGAAGTAGATCTGTGGCTCAAGTGGTAGATCTCCAGCCTTGAGCACAAAATCTGAGGGGCTTGCACCCAGGCCCTGAGTTCAACCCTAGTACCAGCACACACACAAAAAAAATTTTTTTAAAGAAAGAAAGCATTAGAGCAAGTATGAGGGTGGTCAGGAAAAAAGACCCACACCTCTAATCTCAGCTACTTGGGAGGCAGAAATTAGAAGTATCATAGTTCGAGGCAGCCATGGGGGTGAAAAGTGAGCAAGATCTTATCTCAACAAACAAACTAAATGTGATGGCACAAACCTGTAATCCCAGCTATTCAGGAGGTATACATAGGAGGACTTCAGTCAAAGTCCAGGCTAAACAAAGCTATGAATCCCTATCTGAAAAAAATAATAAGGCAAAAAGGTAGAAATGTGGCTCAAGTTGTAGAGCACCAGCCTAGCAAATACAAGGCTCTGAGTTCAAACTTCAGTACTGCAAAATGAAGGAAATAAGGAAGGAAGGAAGGAAGGAAGGAAGGAAGGAAGGAAGGAAGGAAGGAAGGAAGGAAGGAAGGAAGGAAGGAAGGAAG